GGTGTGAGAGCTGGAATAAAGAATTGCTGTTTGAACCTACAAAGCTGTGAGTGCCTCGTGATTCTGGTGCCAAGCCGAGACATTGGCTTTGGCAAGGATTTATTTTTCCATTTTGCTTGTTATTAAGATGTAAGGGTGATCTGGCTGTGACATCTGTCACCCAGCTGATTGCCAGGGATGATTTGGCTGATCTGGCTGGCTAGACGGGTGTCCCCTTCTGCCTCCCACTCAGTGTGCATCCCTCCTAAAGCTGCATGTTGTCGAAGAGGAGGACCATTCTCCTGCAGGGTATGTGAGTAGCCATGCTCCCCTGCTAGAACCTACAAACAAGCTCTCAAGGTCCATTTTTGCTTGTTATTATATCCCTTGCCCCTAAAAAAAGTGCCTGACAACAAGTAAATACTTGTTAAATGAGTGAATTCCAGAACAGATCTCTAATTAGATACCTCGTTACATCTTGGAAACCAAAATGAGCAGAATTGAATGTACAATGCTCTCTGTCTCTCCTTTAATCTATCTTCCTATTCTCCCTCCATTTACCATTCTCTTCCATGGTACATGTGGCAAAACGGATTCAGAAATGTTAGATAGCTTTTCTAAAAGTCTTAAAGCCGATACATAAAAGAGCTGGCATTGGATTTCTTGTTTGGCCATACAAACAGATTCTATTAATCCAGAATTTCCCCAAGTGCTGTTCCATGAATCGAATTTAGATCTTCCTTGAGAAATTGGTCTTCTAACCACTGGGGTGATGAGAACCTTTGGCTTGGTAGCCTCTGGCCATGTGTTGACAAAGGGCTCTTTGGAAGATAATCCTACTAGAGAGAGCTGGGTCTGATGATGAACTACTCTGCTACTGGGTGGTGACATGATGAACATCACCTGAAGCTCATAAGCCATGACAAACTGAGCATGACCAATGAGGAGCTCTGTCACCTGGACATGTGCATGGGTCCTCTCTGTACGGCTTTTGTAGAAGGCACCCATATGTAGGTGGATAAAGATGTAGCTGCTAGAAAGGTTGCTTATTGATAATGACCATTAAGTATTTGAAGTGATCATTGGTGAAAGCTCTTAGTTAGGGGTGGTGTGTGGTTATTTCAAGAAAGTATCTGTTAGTAAAACCTAATTTAAATTTTAAATTATGAAATGGAACAAATTTTATTAGAAAGTTTTACTTTTACTTATTATTATATGTAATAATTTGGGTCTGGATATCCCCCAAAGTCTCATATGTTGAAGGCTTGGTTTCCATTGCAGTAATGTTCATTGATTAATTTTTTAAAAAAAGTGGGAAGTGATTGGATCATGAGGACTTGGATCCAGTGGATTAACCCATTTGTGGATTCATAGCTGATGGAATTTTTGGGAGGTGGCAGAAACTTTAAGCTGGGGAGCCTAGTTGGAGGAGTCAGATCAATAGCGGCATGACCTGGAAGAGTGTTTCCTGTTCTGACCCCTTTCCCTCTCTCTGTCTTTGCTTCCCATCCACCATGAAGTGAGCAGCACTGCTCCACTATGTCTTCTCTGCCACGAAGCTCTGCCTCATCCCAGGCTCAAAGTAATGGAGTCAGAGACCATGGACCAAAATCTCTCACACCACAAGCCAAAATAAGTCATTCCTCCTTAAAGTAGTTTCTCTCAGTTATTTTGCCACATTGATGAAAATC